AAATATCATATACATATAAGATATATTGAAGTATTTATTTATCATAAGTTAATTTGCTTCCAAGTAATAATATTCTTACAGTACCGAATATTCCAAACCTATTTCCTTTTATAATATTGATATATCGTTGTCATAATTAATGACTTCTAACTTACTAACTTCACGTAATTAATTTGAAAAATATTTGTGTTGTATACTATATATGGAATGCAGCTTGGAGCTACATATTTGTTTGTTTAGGTAGAGACATGCATTTGACCAATAATTTAATTTTGTTTTTTTTTTTGCTGAAAAATAATAATATAAAAGCTAGCATGGACGATGATGCATCAAAAAAGTATCCTGTACCAACAGAAGCAAGTTACAAGGCTTATCAGGCTGCACATCCTGAAGAAAGTTCCAAGACTGAGTAGACCAAGATGGAAACAAAAGACGAACATAATTGGTAGAATGCAATCGAGAAGATGGATTGTTTTTGCCAAGGTTTTTGTGTTAGAGTACCTCAAAAGCTTCCCTCATCAAAATAAATTATTACCATTCTATGCCTTTACATTACTTTGCTATATAATGTACAATTTTAATTTTATTGACTTTCTAATTTCGTTTCATTTTACATTGACCATATTTTTTACTTCTATATTAATATCAGTCCATTTTAAAAAATACTTTTAAGTTTTCAGTAATAAAACTAGAGATGAGTGGGATGAATAGGTTTCATTATCTAATCTTCATCCACATTTTGTACTTCTATATTAATATCAGTTACAGATAATTTTAACATTCACTTTTAACGACAACATTTTTTATAATTCCAAATCCTTGTACAAACGTGCTACAGTAGTAAAACGAGTAGATAAAATTATATATATATATATATATATATATATATATATATATATAAATATATATATAAAATATGTTAGAGAATAATCAAGAATTCTCTTGGTATCGTGATGTAACTAAAATATAAAATTATTAATTTATTTTACTTAAATTTTGTTGGTTAACACTTAATTTATAATTTTTTTTTAAATTATAATAGAATTATATATTTGTATTTATATTTATTTGACCCAAAATATAGTATTATTGTCGGGTACAAAATGGTCTAATAAGCATTAGGATCTAAGTGTGAAATAAAATAATAATCCCTTTGAAATAAAGAAAAAAATTATATTTGAGTATATATAAAGATATAAATAGAGCCCATTTGATAATTAACAAAATCTAATTATTATATTTGCTATGATCGTACGTCTTCTAAGTGACATCGTTAGGGT